TTGACTCAAATGTCGCAAACAGATCAATATTATGAACAATTTACTATATATCCAATGTATGAAAAAAGAATAAATGAATCTGCAACTACACTTTATCAAATGATAAAAGTTCAAGATATTCCATTGGATAATCGTAATAAAGATTTGGATATAAAATGTTTTCCTGATTTATATCCATATGGTGCGAATGGACAGCATGAAGATAGTCCGGACCGGATAACTAATTTTGAATATATTAAAATGAGACTTATGTCGCAACACTCACAATTTCGGTTAAATATACAATATCTTTTTATTACATGACATGATAACAATATGCGACAATTAAATAGTGGAATATTTCATAAAATGAATGTTACCAATCCTCGTGAAAGATATACAGCTGCTACTTATTTGGAGCAATTATCTAACCAGCAGCTTGAATCTAAATACAGAACAATATTGGAGAATACCTAGAAGTAATTTGCATTGTATGATATGAAATTATGGACCTGCTACTTGGTTTCTTACCATCAGTCCATGTGAGTGGTTATGGACCGATTTGATAGAATATCTTCGAGAAATAAATGAACCAATTGCCAATCAAAAATCTGCGAACGAACTTATTGCTCTTGATCCTGTATCAACTTCGAGATTCGTGGATAATAAATTTAAAGCTATGCTTGATTTTATTTGTTCACCTGATAATCCAATCGGAGAGGTCACTCATTACTTTTGGCGTCGTGAATATCAAGGTAGAGGTATGCAACATTTTCATTTGTTAATTTGGATAAAAGATGCTCCGATAATTGGTACATCTTCTAATGAAGATATTGCATCTTTTATTTTAAAATATGTCACTTGTAGAATTCCAAATAAACAGTTATCACCTGAATTATATCGACGTGTAAATACACATCAACGACATAAACATAATAATTACTTCTTATAAACATAATAATAACTACTACTAAAAAAACTAAAGTAGGTTTTTCTAAAGTATGCAGGTTTGGCTTTTCACGATCCGTAACAGATACTTTGAAAATTAAAGACGTTGCTGTTTCAATAGCGGATAGAAGAAAATTGAAAACAAAAAGCAGACTCTACGATTTGCCACGATCTAAAGAGGAAGTCAATATTAATGATTATAATCCAGCTATTCTTACTGCTTGGGAAGGAAACATGGATATTCATGGTATTTTTTTTACCTTTGTGAGGTTTTTTTTAGGTTCAATTTTCTCCATTGTTCTTCAGATTATTTTCTGTTATTCATTATTTTTCTTTTATTCATATTTTTGCAATTTTACTATATTGCTATATACTAATTTGCAATAAAATTTGCAAAATATTTTACAATTTTTATTTGATTTTTATTTTCCCGTTTTTTCAAAATGTCGAAAAAACAAAAGATATCTCCATATTTAGTATAGGAAAATAATTATCTTTTTATTAAGGATGATGATTCATTACTGTGCCTTGTGTGTAAAACTAGATTACAAACTTTTAAAAAGTATAATGTACATAGACATTACGCCAAGTTCCATGAATTTGAATTTCAAAAATATGATGCAGAATTTCGTAAAAAAAAAATAAGCGAATTGAAAAATAAAATGAAATCATTCGAGAATTCTCCAAAAAACCAGTTTTTAATATTGAGAAAAAAAACAAATTATGCATGCTTCATACGATGTATCGCTTGAAATTGCCCAGAGCAAAAAAAATTTTTCTGGTGGATTAATGATAAATGATAAAAAAATGCGCAATTAAGATGGCCAAAGCCTTCAAGAAAGATTTATTAGCTGAGAAATTTGAATCTGTTTCCCTTGGCTGTCAAACAATTGTGAGAAGAATTACTGATATTAGTGAGCATTTATGCAATAAGTTAAAAGAAAATGCTGTAATAGAAATTGTAGCTTATTATTCTTTCTGTTTGGACGAAAGTACAGATATATGCAACATCAGTCAACTATGTATTTTTATCAGAACAATACAATAGGATTTTATAATTAATGAGAAAATGCTAGGTTTGGCATAATTGCACAATACGACGAAAAGATTCGATAGTTATGATGCTTTCATTAAAATAGCTAAAGAATTCAACATAGATTTTAATAAATGTTCAGCTATTGTCATCAAATGATGCCCCAGCAATGGTTGGCTTGAAGGAGGGCTTTTGTGGCTTATTAAAAAAGAATGATATCACTTGTTTAACTGTTCACTGTCTGATTCATCAAGAAGCGTTATGTGGAAAAGCCATTAAGATGTCCCTTGCAATGAAATTAGTTACCTCAATTACTAATTTTATTACAGGTGGGCATAAATCGTTGTCGTACAAACAATTTAAAAACTTTTTACAAAAAGTTAATGCAATTTATAAAAATTTGCCCCTTCACTATGAGGTACGATGGCTAAGTGCTGGAAAATGCTTGCAGTACTTCTTTCCTGATAAGAAAAGAAATTCTGCAGTTTTTGCAAGAAGTAGTATCCAGTGATACTGCTCATTTTGAAAAAGCTTTAATGGACAAAGATATGTTGAGTGAATTAGCCTTCTTAACGGATTTCACCGAACATATGAACAATTTGAATTTAAAATTGCAAGGTAGAAATAAATCAATTAGCGATGTTATTCATTTTATAAATGGTTTTCAAATTCAATTGAATATATTTAAAATAGAAATTGAAAACGAAGAATTTCATCACTTCCCTTGCTGTGAAGAAATAAAAAAAACACACCGATGTTGATTTTAGTGGCTTCGGAGATTTAATTAACGAAATTGCAATTGAATTTAATTCTCGATTTAAAGAATTACTTATATTAAAAGACGACGTTTTATTATTTAATAATCCTTTGGCCGTACCAATTGAAAACCAAAATAAAATCGGCACTTCTTATTCTTGTAAAAGTGCTTTTTCTTTAATGAAGCTAATAAAAAACAAAAACAGGTTATTATTTAATAATCCTTTGGCCGTACCAATTGAAAACCAAAATATTTAATATCGGATTAAATTGTGCAATTTGCGAGCTGATCCTTATCTTTCAATTAAGAAAAAAACGAGCATTGATTTTTTTAAACTTTTTCCGAAAGATTTATATCCCGAGCTTCGAAATTTCGGTCTTAAAATGGCTTCGATGTTCGGCACTTCTTATTCTTGTGAAAGTGCTTTTTCTTTAATGAAGCTAATAAAAAACAAAAACAGAGCTTCATTAACCGATGATCAGTTATCAATTTTAATGCGAATTGCGATGAGCAAAATAGAAATTGATATAGAAGAGTTCGTAAATATTAAGTTTAACAATGAAAATATAAAAAAAAAAATTATTAACTATTTTTAGAATCAGTTTTAAAAAATTTTCATTATAAATATTAATTACTTTTTTCTTATATAGTTTATTGGTTTTGA